GAAAATAAATAGAAACAGTGGTTGAATAACTTGAACAGCATATATAACGTTGTATAACTTGTCCACAAGGAGAGGTGTTCAGATGCCATATGAGAATCTGACAGTAAACCACTGAAACAGAATGTTTAAAATGTTTGTGTATTGTTGTCATTTGTTTTATTTTATTCACGGAACATTTTTATTTCATATACATATACAATTTTTGCAGAAAAGTGTTGGAATAAGGTCAACACAGATGGAACTTGAAAAGCTTCACAAAGCATCCAGTTGGAAAAGGGTGTGAGTATGGACAACCAATCGACCTTTATTGTCCCCTGCTCGTCAACCCACAAGGATTGGGAGTGAGTATTACATCTTAATTTAATGGAAATTGCTAATTTATACACTACTGAAAACGAAGGTTTTAACTTCAGACAACAATGTTGTTGTTTTTTTTACTGCTGTCATTTATAAAATGTAGCCGCTCAATCAAAGTTGTAACATCAGTGGAAATATTTAAAGAAACAATGTTGTTGTAACATCAGTGGAAATATTTAAAGCATTTTAACTTGTAAAATTTTGTCTTGGAAAGCAACATCTGCATGGAAGATATGTATGATGAAGATGAGAAAGACAGGGCAAAAAGGTAATTAAACTGTTATCAGATGTGTACCTTGTCTGAATGTTTGGGGGTGGGGTGGGGTGAGGAGGTTTATTTCTTGTATTTCTTCTTCTATTTCTCTGCTCTGCATAAAAAAATTAAAATTTTAGTCATATTTAGGAATGAAGATGTATATGAATACGCAGTATTTAGATAAACTATAACCACAGAATTTAAAGTAAACAAATGAAAGAATGACAACATACCATGTTAAAATATTAATAATTAAAGGTCACCAGTTTACTTTTTTGCAATGAATTTTATTCCTTGGAATGCTTCTTTATAATTACAATAATACTTTTTTTAATGTGTCCACATTTTAAGGGAATCACGTAACAAATCTGAAAAGAAGAGAAGAGACCAGTTCAATGTGCTCATCAAGGAGCTATGTGCAATGCTGCAGGGCCAAGGACATCCACACAAGATGGATAAGACAACTATTTTACAGAGAACTATTGACTTCTTGCAGCAACAAAAAGGTAAAAGGTTTGATTTGGGCAAAACTCACTACGCTACCCCCATTATAAAATCGCTTCTCATTTATTTAATGCATCCATCCCCAAATATTTTAGACATCACACCAAACAAAAACATCCGAGATATGAGACAAGACTGGAAGCCCGCTTTCCTAAGTAATGGGGACTTCACTCAGCTAATGCTGGAGGTAAATTTCAGGTTGTTGCAAAACTAAAGTATTGTGTTGTGTTTTGTTGACTTGAGAGGTCTCTGTAGCTCTAACTTGGTGATGGTGAAACACAACTTCACTGTCAAATGTTCTATTGTGAGAGCTATAGTTGCATATCATTAGCAAGTTGGTTAAAGCAATGTGTAACATTTTTAAAATGAAATGAAATCTGTGGAAAATTTTAAGACATTCACACAACCACCAAAACAAATCAATAACTGCACAGTTTTGTATTTATTGATAACATCTTGAAATGAACAGTTCTTTTAGACTAGAAAATTACAAACACTTTTTTTCAACATTGTTTTAGCCATAATTCCAGTTCTTATGTTTTTACTTTTCTAGGCCATAGATGGTTTCTTGGTTGCATTAACCACTGATGGAAACATCATATACGTGTCTGATAGCGTGTCTTCACTAACGGGTCATCTCCCGGTAAATTGTATATTTATTTATTTATTTTCTTATTTATTTATTTATACACACTTGGACAAAATTGTTGGGACCCCTCTGTTAATGATAGGAAAATGACTGACCATTCTGTCCTGCACCAGTCAGATATGTTGGACCAAAATATCTTGAATTTCCTCCCGGAGCAAGAGCACAGGGATGTGTACAAGCTGCTATCTTCTCCAATGCTGATAAAAGACAACTCTGAGAGTAGGTATCTTTTTTACTAAGGTCTTGTACTGCCTGTTTGTTAAACCAGTGATTACCAACCACTGTGCCGTGGCTCAAAAAAGGTTGGGAAACACAATGTCTTTTAAAAATTAAGAATTGCACATTATTCATATTATAAAGATAAATCGATTTTTAAAGTTGAGTGACTTTAAAAATGCTTGTGTGCTTGTTCAGATGTGGTTGAATTCTGCTGTCATCTAGCCAGAGGTAACACTGACCCACAACAGACGCCTGTGTATGAGTATGTGAAGTTTATTGGAGATTTCAAGTTTCATAACAACGGTAAGAATGATTTGATTTGTTGTTTCATTTACTCAGAATAATGGGTCGTGTAACTACTGGTCATAGTAAGGTTGGGTAATTGACTAATTTTTTACAGCACTTCTGTTATGTAAACAATCATTTCTCAAACTGATTGTGCTATGCAGGTATGGCAGATATCAGTTCTAACTGTAAGATCTTTCTGTCTTGCATCACAAAGTGCCTAAATCGACATGCGACAGTCTTAAAGTGACCTTACACAGAAGCCTACAGTCAGCACTGGAGGAGGAGATCTGCCTCATTGCCACAGTCCAATTAGTCACTCCCCAGTTTGTCAAGGTAAGATCACAATCAAAACCTGCTTAGGGGTTTTTCACATTCTGTGATACACTGACTAAAACACATTATAACCACAATATAATCAGCTAGAAATAAATGTCTGGTAGTTATACAATGATTTATTGTAAAGTTTATTCCATGCCCGGCTAAACAAAGCTATCTCGGTCCATTATACAGTATGTCAGTTAAGTCCTGGTCTGGAGAGAAGTATGAAATAAATATTAGGGTGACAAGTTACTATAGATGAATGAGCCAATTGCATTATGTGTAATCTAAAACATGTGGTATTTGTTTCGGTAGTTGCACAGTTAGGCTTGTATTTACAATTTTGCTTTACCGTGGCATGAATGACTCACTGGCTCTTTAAATGTTGACTTCCAATAGGATTTGTGCAACATTGAAGACCGCTGTGATGAATTCATTTCCAGGCACAGCCTTGAATGGAAGTTCCTCTTCTTAGATCAAAGGTGATTTTGTTTTTATCAAACATTCATGTATATTATTTAATTAAGAATATATCTTCTTTACTGCACTAGTTATCCTTTTTGGTTGCAGAGCGTCACCAGTTATAGGGTACTTACCCTTTGAGGTTCTTGGAACGTCTGGCTATGATTACTATCACGTAGATGACTTGGAGCCTATAGCTCAGTGTCATAAACAGTGTAAGTAAATTCCTTAAGTGTTGTAATGTAACAGTTGTTGTGTTTTACAAATGCAGTGTGTTACCTTTTTACAAACATGCTCCTGGGGGAAACTCCCTGCCAGTCATACATGTAGCACAGGGACACACACAGCTGAATTTATTCTGACTTCAAATCACAGTACCTCGTACAAGCCCACTTAAAAATAGTTTTACATTAAATATTCAATTTTGTAAAAAATGCAGGAATGTGAAACTAATAGTCATCTTTTTTTTTGCTTTTCATAGTAATGCAGTTTGGAAAGGGTAAATCCTGCTACTATCGTTTTTTGACCAAAGGTCAGCAGTGGATTTGGTTGCAGACTCATTACTATATCACGTATCACCAGTGGAACTCCAAACCTGAGTTTATTGTCTGTACTCACACAGTTGTCAGGTATTGATTTTTGTTATATCTCGTGATGGGAATTCATGTGGTTGTTTTGAAATTGTCCTTATTGTAGGGCTGCATTCAACACAATACAGTATAATATAATTTAATATAATATCTTTTTTGTTTGATTTGTGTTTTTTTTCGTATTTAAAGCAAGTACTTTCTACAAATAGTACTTGATTTACGTCAATATATTTCATTTTATTTAATTATATTATATAAATTATTGTATATCTTTAATTATAACAATCATTATCATTTTTAACTGTTCCAGGTCAATTTTCTAAATTCCAGTACTAATATTACTTTCTATTTGTCCTGTGGTCAATTTCTATTAAAAATAAAACCATGTGATTGTGTCTACAGTAATAGATACAGATTAACAGTAACAGACACTCTTGTGCTGTCCTTCAGTTACTCTAAAGTACGAGCTGAAAAGAGAAGAGCCGTTGGCCTAAAAGAGCTGTCTCCATCTGAAAATGTTCTCCCTTCTGTGAAGGTCAAAAGCCAAGGACCGTTTATCTGTACATACAGCATGTGTATTTTACACGGTCACTCCTGAAGACCCCCATTTTGTATGTGTTTCTTCATGTGTTCAGGCTCAGGAACTCTACTTGGATATCTGCTCCACAATAAACCCTACATTGGATGGAAACAGCGGTGCAGGTTCCCCTCACAGCTCTCGCAGGTCCTCACTCACAGAACTGTCAGACTCTGCATGTAAGTCAACCTCTTTTTGCTTTTGCTTGATGGACACACAGACAGATAGATGTTCAAGTCCATTATTTACAAATGTACTTTACTGATGGTCCAAGAAATAATGAAACTGACCTCTCGCTATCCTTAGACAAGCTGTGTTGTCAGTCACCTATTCCTATTGATTGACGTTTCCTCTCTTCCTGCAGCTTACTCTTACACAGACACATGGCAAGCTGCTTCTACTGAAACAGAAAGAACTGGCAGACTCGAGCCTTGTGGTTCAAAGGTCAGTACATTATAAGGTTTCCTATCAATTCTGAACTCAGTCTATATGGTGAGATCATTCAGAGTTTGCCAGTTCTCTCTGTTGTACTTGGAATAAATGCCAAGCTTTTCTCATGCACCTTTTTAACGTTTTATTTTGGGATTATGTCTTCACAGCAGCAGCAGCCACCGCCCATTTATCAGCCACAGAAGCCAAGACCTGGTATTGTGAATCAGCTGAAAGAGCAGCTGGAAGAAAGGACACGAGTTCTACAGGCTGATATAAAGACACAGCAGAAGGAGCTGTATAAGATTAAAGAGAAGCTTCATACAGCTAACCTCCAGGTAACAGAAATTATTCAGTTTTTCTTGAATAAAATGTATACACACAGTGCAAATCTACAGTATTAGATCCTGTTGTTCTTCACACCTGTATTTACATGAGTGATCACCAAAGTGTTTTTCACTTTTTCATTTGGTTGTAGGTCCAGCAGAGGACTGGGCAGGAGGGGCAGTTACAGCCCGTGACTGTGTCCCTTCAGACCGGTACAAGTCTAACGATGCCGTTATTTAGCAATCCCATGATGTTCTCTCATACCACCACCAGACCGTTTCACAACACAAACCAGAGACACGCAGATGGGTTTTTAAACCATGATGAACAAATACGGTGAGATGAACAGACAACTGAAGTTTTACACTGTTAACATTGAATTCAGGGCTTCACTGGAATTTTGGCTGTGACCATGTCATTCCTTATTATACTTTAAATAACCTTCGAGAATTATATTGAGATCACAGGTGTTACAATAATAAATATGTATTATGTAGTAGAACACAGTGTCACATATTTGCCTCAGCTCTTCTCTTCCCTCTGTGCAGCTACACCTTAGAGCAGCAGATCACACCCTCTCTCTCCATGGAGCAGGTCAACTGTAACAATGTCCTCGTACCCTCTACCGTCTTCACGCCCCCCATTGTGGTTCCTCACAACGGCTTCATGACACAACAGCCTCCGTCAATGCACATCAATCAGCACTGTTTGCAGCCTCAGCAGCAATTTGAGGTAAAACAAAAACTTCATCAATGAACAAAAACATGTTTTCTCTAAAGCCAGGTTTCAATGCAGTCTCACTGCTCAATATTATATTTTCATATTTCTGTTGCCCACAGATGACCAGATGTATCCCCAGTGGGTCTAGTCCAACCACTCTATACACTTCTAATGTCCCACAGCAAAGTACTGTGGAATACATCCAGCAAACAATGCTACAACCACCAGTACGGCAGCAGCAGCAACTAAGGCAACACCAACATTTCCAAAACCCGACTGATGCTGTTTCAGGCTTCAGAAATATGCAAACTAGGTAGTGATGTGGATGGATCCTGCGGTAGAACTTTGTTGTTGCTGGGCAGGCAGCAGAGACCTGTGGCGTGGGAAGTCAACTTGAGCGAAAGATGTGCTGAAGAAATACTTACAAGTCAATAATAATTTCGTCACTGAAATCATTGTCAATGACGCCCAATGACATTGTCAACAACTTGCCATTTGTTCTCTGTATCTCCTTGGAGAAAGCATACTTATTTTACTACACAGCACATATCAAACATCCAAGCATTAATGAGTGCAGTGTGTCTTCAAGACACGTCAGAGCAGCGTAATTTTCAAGTGTCATTACATATGATCACATTATTGCTGGCCTTTAATACAGATGCACCACTGACTCAAAGTTATACATTTCATTTGAAATTAAAACTGTATTTAATGTTAAAGCAAACAGAGATTTTATTCTAATATGGGGACTTGATATTTAGTATAAAAATAGGGTCTTAAACAAAAAAAAACCCCAACATTTATAATAGGTTTATGTCAAGTCTTTTATCTTTATAGTATGATTGTTGCAACTCAGAAGAATATTTAGGTTGCTGCTCTCTGCGACTGGAAGAGGATGACCTTTAAGTCCATCTAGAGGTCAAGAACGGGAGCTGCAACCACTACACTGTGTCTCAGTAAGACAGCACAGCACTAAGAAGATTTTTATATCCGTACTATTTAACAGGCAGACAAAAATGGGAGGAAGACATGTGCCTTAAAACAACTGTAGTCTGGTCTGATGTTTATTTTTTGGGATTACAACTTTTTTCAATTTAACCCTCTGATGTCTGTATAAATTATATTTTTATAGATTGTTATACTTATAAGAATGGTATGTTATGGAATTATTTTTCATGTTCAAACTGTTAGTAATCATTGAATATGTATATGAACTTATTTATCTATTTCTGATACCTTTATGAGATTATTTTTATTTAAAATGAATTCGACAATTGTCCAATATAAAAAAGTATAAATTGATTTGATTGCATTAATGCAATAAAGGGTGAACATTGGTCCAGACTTGGTGTTGGAGAAATTTGAGGTGAAAATGGATTGGTTATCACAGCAATTCAATAAAATAGTGTCATCGCTGAGATGTAAACTCCCCCCGCCCCCCCAAAAAATGAAAATTAAATAAGAATCAAACTGACACTGTATACCCAACTGCATTGAGTTGCTACATTCAAACTATCAGAGAATTACCGATAATCTGATTACTGACTAAAATTCACCAAGAAGAAAGAAATACATGCACCTGCACACACACACACACACACACACTGCACTTTAAAAATGTCACATATTCTCAACTATTCTGTAAATGTCCACCCACAGGCCTAATTTTAATTTATTTTATCATTATTTGTATACCTTCATGTACAAAAAATAATTACGTTATAAAATATTTTTCTGTCTTTGCAATTAACCAGCATCAAAATAAAAGGCACTTGGAGTCAATAGGTCAGGTCAGAAGTATGCAGCAAAGCAGGTGTGTTTATACAACTGAACTGTGGCTCCTTAGTGCCTGGGAATTTCTGACATTTGTATTGCATCTGAAATTTGAATCTTTCTGAAGCTGCTAGATGGGAGAAATCTCTGTAACTGTGTACAACTTGTTCAACACGACTTCCACTTTATCACCCCCAAGGTGACAAAGGTCCAAGATGCAGACGACATGTGTGCCATCCAGGTCACCAGATGTGGCTATAATCTCCTCTGCAAAACAAGAAAAATAAATCTGCACCATCTGTCATGTGGATTCTAGGTTTCTGGGTTTGTTGTTTCCCTACCTGGTTTGAGAGCAGCTGGACTGCTGTGCTCATTTGTGTCTTTTAAAGGACAGAGAAACCCTGAGGACAGACAAGACAGCATTGTATTTCCATGTGGATCCTGAGGTCGACCAATAGCTCTGGGCTCAGCAGCACTCATCAGGGGGAAATACGCAGCATTCACAGCTATCTTCTTATTTATGCCTGCCAGGAAAATCACACAGTTAGAACTGAATGGTAGTGATTGTCCTTTACCATTGGACTTAGTCACTTAAAGGTCTGAAAACTGCTGTCAGCAGAAACTGTGAAGCATTTCACCACAATGAAAAAGTCAAGGAAAAAACAGCCATAATTATTAAAAATTTGAGAGGAAAATAATTGTGTTATTTTCTAAACAATCTATTTTCCTAGATCAAAGTTCATAGAGTGAATCATTGATTTCATACCACAGATTTAGTAACTTGAACGGCCATTTACTTAGTGTAAATCGTTTACACTTCTTTTTCGAATAATGCTTTCGGTGTCTGTGCACTGGGGAATTTTCTGCTGCATTTGAAAGCTGAAGACACACATATTGCAATCATGACTAACTGTCAGTACATTACGCAACCAAGAAACGCATCTCCTCACCTAATATTGTGATGTGGTAGTATCCCTGACAAACCAAAGATGGAATGGTGTCGGCGGTTTGCTCTGGGCTCCATCTGGTTGGCTGAAGGTTACTCCACATAAGAAGGCCATTTTTGGCATTGGTTGAGAAGGTCTGTATGAAACTGTCCTGGTAGAGATCGCCCTGACACAAATGTTCACACAGTTCTTCTTGTTGCCTTGGCCAGCTGTGGCTTTTCCAAGTAAACAGGCCACTGTCTGGTGGACAACAAAAGGCCAGAAATCACAGATGTGTTAATGTGAGGTTACAATCCAAGAAAGAGCTGCAACATAACAAAAAATATCACTGCTGCTAGACTTTCTTGTGTCTAAATAATATTTTTTATTATTTACTTTAAAATAACGTAAATGTCCTACATGTATTGCACAGGTTTAAAAAACATTTGCCAGGCACTGAGAGCCTACCCTGATTTAGACTGTGGGATGGTCCACTACGTTCTGATTCAGGAAGGTCCTCTGGTTCAGAGGCAGTGTCATTCTCCTGCTGCTCTCGTTGGTCCTCTGTGTTTTCATGTTGAGCTTTTCTGTGGGAGGAAACACAAAATCAAGTCACATTAACCTGAGAATCTTGTGCCTTTCCTAAAAAAAAAAAACTAAACTGTGCTACAATAAAATAAGACCTTATGAGGTATAAACAATAACAGACATTTCAGAATTAACTGCATTTGGAAAGAATGTTGAAATGAACATGTTAACAAACTACTAGGTTGATCCTAGACAATTTGACCGAAGGAGTAAAGTGTTAATGGTTGAGATGCATGTCAGGGCAGACCTGGGAACTTCATCTTGCGTTCCATCAATGTTCTTCGGTGTTTTAATGTACTGAATAGCTACGATCTCTCCTTGAATCGCCATTCTTTTATGTTCTCTGTACTGCAGTGTCTCGAACTCCTTTTTCAAATCTGCTCCTGCGACCAGAGGCACGTGGACTGAAGAAGCTGTTGAAAACAAATGTGCGAGGTGTATATGTTAGAGCCGCACCGTATTTCAAGTCCCATGTTTGTGCTTAACGTCAACCCAGGGGAGACATTTTAGAACCACAGAAGTAAAAGTTAAAACTTAAGACATTTACCTTTACTTATCCACTAGTTTCAGAAAATGACCTTGCTACCTCTGAATCACTGGGTTTCCTCCTCACCTGAGTCATCCACCAAAGCCTGTGTGAACATTCTCGGGGGATGTGGGTAACAGTAGTTGCCACCCACAGCTGTCTTCTTTAAGACAGCACTGTCCTTCAGAGTTTTAGTCCACTGGATGAAGCTCTTCACTGTAGGGTTGCTCACGTACGGTTGACCTTTGTGGTAACCTAGGAAAAAAACATTGTGGATTTTGAAAGTAAAAATGCATTACAGTATATACAGTAATATCACGTAGAAGCCATGTAACAAAATATATTTGCATTTTGGCTCTGTGTACCAGTGACAAGTGTAATGACAACAAACAAATAGAAATTAAAAATCAATATTAAAATAACTAGGTTCAAATGTGCACCTGCTGTAAAGGCCACATTAAAATATCAAATATGGTAAGAATTTGGGCTGTTATTACAAAAAATGTAATAGCGCTGCAATCGTTTTGGTAAATAAAACTACATACAGTGCAGGTTTTTCAAGTGAAAAGTAATTCAGTAACAACCCATGCCTTCTGCATTCTTTGGTTTAGAATTGCTATGTTAATGTTATTTGTATAACTTTAAAAAAATTAAACTAAGCTGCAGTAATTTTAAAAACCTTTCACAACAGTGGACAATTACACATGTGAATTCAATGTGTCTGCTTTGCTGACCTGTGATGAATATCTGTGTCTCACAGCTGCTTGTGAGGTAGGGAAGTGAGCCTTCTACTTGACAAATCCTCATCTGCGTGCACACCAGGTAAGTCACTGTGCGAGAGTTGACAATGTATTTAACAACAGGAGAGACGTAGCTGACACTGTACCATCCAGTATGTCTAACTTAACTTACTTGGGCAAATAGAGTTGAAAATGTCTGGTTGTGAAGAGGAAAAAATCTCAAGGATAAATGGATGATTCGATGTCCCATCTACAGCATGAACCCAACGATATGTCCAGAATTTCTCTGTGCCTACATTAAAACAAACAAACAAAAATTATTTTATAAAAATCTCACACAAACTTTAAATATTGTAGATAAAATACAAACACCTCCTACCACTGCTTCCTTTACTTCTGACTCTTTCAACACGACCAACAAACGTCACCAAACCTATGACATCAAATGCACGGTTGTTGGCTTCTGTATTCAACTCTGACCTGTTAGAAGGAATTGGTACAATTGTGGAGATGAAAATGGTAGTAACTGGCTGTGTCCAAAACTGCTCCCTAAACCCTACGTAGTGCACTACATAGGGAGTGTAGTTAATGATTCATGATAATTCACTGATAATTCACTGCGAAATCTAGTGTACAGCCTTACTGTACTTACTTACCTGGTAATGAACTGGTAAGAAACATCAGGCAGTCCCCACTGAGGCTGTACAATGTTTGGTGGCACCACAGTTATCACTGCTGCTGGATTTCGAGGATTGAGGCAAATTTCTAGAAATATGTCATTAAAAAAAGATTTAGAAAAGAATAGTAAGCCAGAGCAGAAATGTAAAAAAAAAAGTGAATTGTGTGATGTCCTCTTCTGGGGTGTGTTTTAAGGCTTCATACCTACTGAATTAAAAGCCATCTTTCCATAATGGGCCATTTGAGGGTATGAGCGCTTTGAATAACTCTGCTTCAAAGTGTAGTTTTGAATGTACAATACTGTGCCCACTTTAAGTCCTTGGTAAAACTCTGGACATAGTTCATTCCAAAGCACCAAGGACACTATGCCACTCTGATCTGCAACTTCAAAGTATGCCTGGAAAACAGAAAAAGCCTTAGTAGACATGAGTAACTATGAAAAAAAGTCAAAACAATAATAGAAAAAAAACCCCAACAACATAAGGCTAACAGTGTTTCTGCATTTAAACATGTCAAAGTTATTCACCTAGTTATTCATACACATCGTTCAAACGCACCTGGTAGGGGTAATCAATTTTGAGCCCAAACTTCCCATAATATCTCAATCTGGATTTGTGTATTATCTTGACCAGAAGTGGAAAATATCTCCGTTGGCTCCTGAAATGATCCTCCAGGTTGGAAATCAAAGTTATCTTGGAAACTAAACAGAAACAAATTGTATTCAGGTATCACCACGAATAGTACAACAGTACAAAACTAAATAGACAAAAAAAATCTAATGATTTTACTGAAATAGTGATATATGGTTTATTTAAAAAGAAGACAATAAAGATAATGTTAACATTGAGTGGGGGTTTACATGTAAATGTCTACAAGTATCTACATCGTCAAACATTCCTCAGAGACTCAAAAATGATCTCTGGCTGGTGCTGGTAGTTTTTAAAAACGTATTACTTATTTATTTGTAATAACATTTCATGCAACAAATAAACTCTTAAATTAGTACCAAATCTTACCATCCAGAACTGTGACAGATGGTGGAGAAGCTGAGCTCCAGATGTCTCCCTCTGGATCATTGTCGTTCCACAGCGGGAGGTAATGTTTGCGTCTCACCTGAAGAGGAACATCACTGTGCAGCACCACACTACCCCCTGTGCCAGGCATGGTCAGCGATCTCACGTCGCTGACTCCGTGTAGCAACGTGGATCTCTCGGCGCTACATCTAAGCTTTTCAATGCAAATGTAGCCATCATTAAATCCAAGCCTCATCTCGTTAAACACAAAAGAGCACTCGGTGATGGTAACATCAACCCCGGTCCTTAAAGTGTTTGTCAACACTAAGTGGTTAAGGGATGGATGAAGGAAGCATTTGGCTTTCCACTGTCCGTCACACACTGTTACATCGTAGTCGTAGCATTGCGGCTGCGGCCGCTCACTTTCCACTGATAAGTACCTCTGAAGTGCAACTACAGCCACGGGACACTCCTCCTCAGTCCTCAGTTGTACAAACTGTGTTGAGGACAATCTCTCCAACACTCTCGCCAGAAAAGATGTTGGAGACGAATTCATCCCCGCACCGTCGGAAAAAGGCAACGAACTGTTCTCAACGTTGGATGTCATAGTGCAAGTAGCACGCTCAAAGTTTGAACAAAAAGCTTAGTCTTAAACTCATGGCAAACACTTATTCCGCTTGTGTGCTATTTTATGAAGCACTTTGATGTCGCTAACTATAATGTTAGTAGCTTCCTAACGCGGCGGGTGATTTTTGATTACGTCACTATCCGATTTTGTTGTCGAAAACAAAAGTAAGGTTCACTGAAATAACATTTCTACAGTTAACATAAACATCACTAGATGTATTACTCATACGGCAAAGGCCCTGTACTTGTTACAACGTATAAGTCAAGAATAACGCAATAATATTCATTAATAACGCGCAAATCAAAAGGGCTTCAAATTCCGCGCTTTGCCTGACGATAATTCACGCGACGGATGTTTTGATAGGAAGTAGATATCCGAGCGGAGTTTGCGGAAGTACAGCCCTCGACTTAAAAACTACAATCCCGAAACTCTTAGCGGCGATGGAAATGTTACCCGTCGACGTGGGAAGGAAAGAAATAAGGGAGGAAAGGACTGATACACAAACAACAAATGTCTATTGGTCTTAAGTGTTGTTTTTGTTGTCACTAAACGTGTCATGAGAATTGAGTGTTTAGAGACTACTTAATGACGTTTGAAACATGTGGCTGAAACCCGAAGAAATTCTTTTAAAAAATGCCTTTAAACTGTGGCTTACGGAGAAGGATAACGAGTATTTCGTGATGCAGAGGAGACGAGGGTACGGGGAAGGTGGCGGGGGTTTGACGGGTAACGTATAATGTTTTCGCTCAAAATCAGCTCCAGCAGTTCGGTTATTTAATAGAGTGGACTGTAGCTATGCTAACCCAGTGTGTATGTGTTTGCGTGTGTGCGTATGCATACGTGTATGTGTCAAGGACAGTCGCTACTGGTCGACAATCCATTTTCTAATAATATTTTTTAAAACATCCTCTCCGCAACAGGTCTCCAACAAGTCAGGATGTAGGAAGTGACAGCTGGTTTGTTGTTGTCAACACGACTGCAGCATCTTTCTGTTTATCCGTTCACATTTCTTTTGCACATAATAAATTGTCTTTCACAATTTAATTGCACTCGAAATTTATGGTTTAGAGTCTTCCAAAGATGACATGGCATTTCATAGACATTGCAGCATGTACAGCCCAACTTGCAATGGCTGTTTAGGGTTCGAAAACAAGGTCCAGACTATAAAGTTAGAAAGGACAGTGAAACACACATACAGTTAATGTGCTTAATTAAGTGGACTCCCAGTTCAGCTAAACCCTAACACACACACACAGATTTCACATAGGGAAATCTATAGATATATTATTTTATATAATATTATTTTGTTGAATAATATTTTTGAAATGAGTATTACCCAACATGCATGCTGTGCTTCCAAATGTAATAGCTATAATGAATAAATCCACCAGCTGTCTTTTGCAATTAAAAATGCTTTGCAATGTCTGTGCCCTTGTGTGGCCGGATTGCTCATAAATATTACCACACCTAACATTACAGGCCTCCTGGTGGGAACACTGGATACAGTGTTGGACTCAACATCAAAAGTTGCTCCCTATCGTATTCTTCACCACACACCTGACTCCCAAGTGTATTGGTCCATAGCATGTGGTATGTCATTGCAGTTTACCTCTTTTGCTTGCAGAACCTTTTGAAATCAAAACTTAAATTGCAACTATCTTAGTTATGTTTATATAGGAAATGCTTGTTGCAGCTTTAAATAGGCAAATAACATGTGTTTTCATTAAGCAAGTCTTGTCTTTTTGTGTCACACTGGTAGTAGAGCCAACCTTAATCACTGTCTGCATACATTGAAATTAGTGTGTCCTCAAAGTGTGCTTAGCGAACTTAATGATGACTGCTGCACTACTCTGTGCCACTCTTCTTTTTTTTCTGTGCCTCATGGTGCGTGAGAGTAGACTATTATGTACTGTTGCACATAAGAAGTAAAGTAAATGTCTTGATGCCTTTCCTCAGTACACAAACATCTCTGGTAATGTGTAATCCTTGACAGGATTCCGTTTCAGTTAGAGGCTGCAGCTTATCAACATGAAAATGTTATTATATTGTTTCTTAGCATTCAGGCCCAAGACATATTTATAATGGTTAACAGTAGGATTTTGTTGTATGCTTTTGTTGACATTTTTTTTTTGATATGTGGTCAGGTGTCACCAAGGATGAGATTTTTGCGCACTGGGATTGGCTGCAACAGAACATCATGAGGACACTCTCTGTTTTTGACTCCAGTGAGGACATCACCAGTTTTGTGCAGGGCAAGATTAGAGTAAGACTCCATCATAATTAAATCCTTACATCTCTGATTAAGTCCTGCTGACAGTGACTTAAAAAAAACATAATAGATAATTCAATCCTTACATCTCTGACAGTGACTTAAAAAAAACATAATACATTTTGGTTTTGTGTAATAATTGCAATTTTGAATCTATAGGAAGTCTTTATCTTTCATGTGTTAGGGTCTCATTGCTGAGGAGGGCAAGACATCCTTAGGGTTAGAGGATGATCCAGAAAAATTCCGTGAAGCACTTCTTAGGTTTGAAAAGTGGTTTGAGCTTCCACCACAGGAAAAACTGGTCACATATTACTCATGCAGCTATTGGAAAGGAAAAGTGCCATGCCAGGGTTGGCTCTACCTCAGTACTAATTTTCTGTGCTTCTATTCGTACCTGCTGGGATCTGAGGGTAAGACATTTAATCTGGTAAGATGACTATAGATATAGATAATCAGATGTTTCAGTTCACTTGACAAATTTTACCAGTTTGCAATCCACATTTAAAATGTGCGTGGCCTGTATTGGTTTAATAGCATAAATGTTTTTTTATTTAAAAAATTGGTGAAACATATGGATGTCAGGCTAGTATTGCCTATATTCTATAAAACATACATATCTGACATTCCTTCTCTACTTCTAAAAATTTGCAGTGAAATTGGTAATCTCCTGGGATGAAATCTGGAAGCTGCAGAAGACTTCTAATGTGATTCTGACAGAGAGCATCCATATCTTGGCTCATGGGGAGGACCACTACTTCTCCATGCTTCTACACCTTAATGAAACCTTTCTTATCATGGAACAGCTGGCTGACTACTCTATTAAACGTCTCTTTGATAAAGAGGCTTTCATCGGGGAGCCAGCGCTCTGTGATCCTGTTCAAGTTACCAAAAGGTACTGTGCTGCTACAAAATAATCATTCTTTGATTTTTATTGTTTTCCAGTTAACCATTTTATTTGACTTATTTTATGAAACACTATAAATATTCAGTATAAATATAAAAATTAATTATTTCCCCCCAAAATTCCCCCCAAAAAACACTTCATTTGGAGATTGTCAATTTCTGCTTTATTTAATTCACAGACACTTCATTTGGAGATGGTCAATTTCTGCTTTATTTAATTCACAGAGGATTGGAGGCCTATGCACGGAGTGCACAGTTTCGGACATTTTTCAGACTTCCAAAACAGGAAAACTTGTTAGAAGTTCATGAGAGCTCCCTGTGGCTGCCTTTTAGCCACTACAACACACTTGGCAAAATCTGTATTTCTGAGAACTACTTGTGTTTTGCCAGTCAAGATGGAAGCCAATGCTACGTCATCATTCCTATGCGAGAGGTAACATCAAATAAAAAGCAATTCATTAGACTGATATAAAATACTCAGAGTCTCATACTGCACATTGAATACTGATGAAAAGTAAAAACCTACACCCTGTTAACCCTGTCTTGTTAAAGCTTGCTAGTGTTGAGCAGCCAGATGCCACAAGCAGAGCTGTAACTGTGTGCGTACGCAGTAAGAGGGCACTGCGTTTCTCCGACGTGCAGAACTATCAACAGCTTGCTAATACAATCCGCACTCGGTGTGGCATCAGTGCCAGCCCTCAGCACTCTGCCTCTTCACAGGTAAAACGTTTCAGATGTTTAAATGTCTCAATTAAAGATTGTTTTGTCCGTGCATCTTGTGATCCTGTGGTTACTCACAGGGGATCATTATTTTAATTTATTTTTAAGAGTATACAAGCGCAAAGTCGTTCCCATATCAACCATTTTGAGGACAATACAGAGGAGGCAAATCTGAGGGTGCAGCAGAAAGACAGCAGCAAGACTGTAAGCACCGAAGCTCTCATGACTGTTTTCCACCCTCAGGATGTTGAAAACCTTGATCCAAAAATGGTAACTACAACAGTTCTGTGCAAATTAATAATGGCTTTTCACTGATGACAAACATGCTTAAGATCTCTTATTTCTATACATGTAACAACAGTGCTGTGTGTGAGATTATTAAATTATGCAGAGTTGGCAAAAAATAAAAATAAGGCATGTACAGAAGCTGTTTATCAAAACAGTAAAATTTTGTTTTTCACAGCTCAAAGAAAAGATGAAAGAACAGTCATGGAACATACATTTCTCCGAATACGGTCGTGGTACAACTATGTTCTTCACCAGGAAGACACGAGACCTCATTGTCCGTGGTGTTCCTGAGGCCTTGAGGGGAGAGCTGTGGATGCTTTTCTCAGGTATTACACATTCATTCTCTCTATGTTATCTACAGTAATTATTAGGAATGTACCATAACTTTTTTCTTTTGAAAAAAAACCTAGTGCACCAACAAGTTAAAAATATATGAAAAATACACTGACACAAGTTACATTCAAACATTTCTATGTGAACACAACACATTAAAGTTGCTATTCTTCCTCCCTGTTTGGAACATATATTGCAAATAGCCAGCGATCTGCCTTCTTCTGATAAGTCTCACTTATCGTGGACCCCTAGTAATTATTACAGCTGTCAGCTCACTTAATCACTGTGTAATCACTGCAGCACCTGTTTTGTTCTTTTTCTACAGGAGCAGTGAATGACATGGCCTCACACCCAGGCTATTATACTGAGCTAGTAGAACAGTCGCTGGGCACAAGCACCCTGGCAACAGATGAGATTGAAAGAGACTTGCACCGTTCTCTCCCTGAGCACCCGGCCTTTCAAAGCGATACAGGAATCTCAGCTCTGCGTAGAGTCTTGACTGCCTATGCCTACAGGAACCCCAAAATAGGATATTGCCAGGTACTGTATATATTATTATTCGTGCAGGTTTGATGTTAAAGTTGTGGATCACGGTGTGGTAGTGTGTTTTTATTGTCTGGCCTGTGCCAGTGTTAGACGGCACCATATTAACAGTCAGTCAGTTATAGTTACAGTGGTCGTTCAATCAGATTAAACACCACAGAGACACAAGTGTGTGGCATCAGTATGTGACACTTCTTCTTACCTCTGTGGAGTTCTGGTTCGTGTGGACGTTGTTACCCTGGGACTTTGTTAGGGTCGGTGTTGCCACAGACCTAAGCCATCTGTCATCACTCTGTGCAAATTTGTGTGACCGTCTTTTCTTCTCCTCAGGCCATGAACATTCTGACTTCGGTTCTGCTGCTCTATGCTAAAGAGGAGGAAGCTTTCTGGCTGTTAGTAGCTGTTTGTGAGAGGATGTTGCCAGATTATTTTAATCGGCGAATAATAGGTGAGGGAGCCATTTTGGACATTATTTGGTTTTGGTTGTAATTCTGTGAAACTAATCTGTTTGGAGAAATTCACCCGCCAATTTTTCTTAAGGAGCTCTTGTGGACCAGGCAGTGTTTGAGGATCTCATTAGAGAGAACCTGCCCCAGCTGGTGGAGCACATGACAGACCTGAGTTTCTTCTCCTCCGTGTCCTTGTCCTGGTTTCTCACTCTCTTCATCAGCGTCCTGCCCATAGAGAGTGCAGTCAATGTGGTTGACTGTTTTTTCTACGATGGTATTAAAGCGATTCTGCAGCTGGGCCTGGCTGTCCTGGATTACAACGTGGACGCCCTGATCAGCTGCCAAGACGACGCAGAGGCCGTTACTATCCTAAATAAGTCTGTATTATTAAAATCAATGGCAGGGCTAACATGTTCTGGTCATTCTTACCATGTAATACATTAACACCTCCTCCTCCCCCCGCCCCAGGTTCTTTGACAGTGTCACAAACAAAGACAGTCCACTGCCGTCCACAGTGCAGCAGGCATCAGCAGCCATTCACGATAAAACGCCCCACGTGAATGTTGACATCAGTGAACTAATTCGAGAGGCTTACGTGGTGATGACTTGTCTCTAAGTTTTATTGTCACTTTCAGTCAAAGTCGTGGAGTTGGCAGTGCCTTTGACTAATTTGGTTTCTTAACAGAAATATGGAAACATCAATTCAGAGGAAGTTGAAAGCTCACGCAAAAGGAACAAACTTTATGTCATCCAGACACTGGAGGACACAACCAAGCAAAATGTTGTAAGTAGCACAACGTTCAGACATTATGGTGAAATAAAGGCATTTTAACTTTCCACATTCTATGGTGGAGGGGAGTTTTGAATTTAACACATACATCACATGCATAAACACAAAAAGATGCAAATTAGCATAATGGGTATAGGTATTGAAATTTTTAAATAAAAAAGTTTTATTCTTGTAATATAAATTGTAAATATAGTAAGTCAAGGCCTTTTTTTATTTTATTCATATGCTTGCCAGAATACTTCACTGTGCATCAATTCCAAGAAAGGGGAAATGAATGAATGAATGTAATGTTTCTTAGTTGCTCTGATGACATGAATAAAAAGCCATTGTTATAATTGACTGAAGATAAGTCGATAATCTGATTTTAGAATCGAGTTGTGGCTCAAGACGTTCGATTCAGTGCCTCGCAACTCGACCAGCTGTACAATTTGTTCAAGGTCAGCCACAAACATTTCCACATTTTCAAATGTTTTGCATAACTGATCAAGCGTCATGATAAACAAAAGCCGAGAGAAATGACAAAATGTACTTTTTTCTCCTTCAATGTTTAGAGGCAACATTTCTTAAGCTGCTACTGGATGATGCAGAGTCCAGCTCTTCTCCACCATGACCCCAGCCTAGCCTATCTGGAACAGTACCAGTTGGGTTTCCAACAGTTCACTGTGCTCTTTTCCCTGCTGGAGCCTTGGGCGTTCTGCACAGCTAAGAGCACTCTCTCCCTCTGGGCTTTTCGGCTGATAGACAAGAACCAGGATGGACTCGTCAACTTCAAAGAGTTTTGCGATGCCCTTGGTAGGTTCAGCTTTCCTCATGTATTGCAGTTCAACAAGTATTTAATATAAATATATAGACCTTTGATATATGCTTTATTTCTGTTTTTTTCAGACACTCTGTGCTACGGCTCTTTTACCGATAAGCTGAAATTTCTCTTCAAGCTCCACCTTCCTCCAGGTGAGTGATGCGCAAATATAAACACAATCTATCTTATCTATTCTATTTAATAGTTATTAATTAATAATCCAGATTACCTATCAAAGTTTAGCTTCTTTAATATACATTTTAATCAGAGTGTGTCATTTCTGTTGTTTTTCCACAATTTTGTGGATTGTTTATTAAAATACTAACAATTTGCAAAGTCTGCTGCATGTCCTTTAATTACTCACTTACTTCTTAATCTCTCTTTCTTATTTCGAGGCTAACCAGCACACAGACATATAGACATAGAGAAATGCAGAAATGCTCAGACTCTTAAAAATAATTTGGGTCTGCAGAAAATTATTGATATTTACGTGCATTAGCACAGATCTAGTAACATGCTAATGTCAGGTGTAAGGATTCTGAATGACGTGATAGTCATTCAGGTTGTATATCTGTGTAGTAAATAAAACATGTAGCTGTCATGTTTTTCTGTAGATCTTTCACTTTTGTCTCTTTATCTTTGGTCCTTGTTTACTCACTGTCAGTGTGTTCCAGCTTTTACAGGCAATCCTTTGTATTTAAAGGAGCAAAGAATTCAACAGTTTGTCCCTGTGACTGAAGATTCTTCTCATTTGAGTAGACCTGCTGGTTAGCTTTATTCTTCTCTTTTTACTCTTCCTTTTACTCAAATTTCATGGCTTTCCTTCAGAACACTTCTCTAATTTTGTCCAATGCTGTGAGCGTGGAGTTTGTTCCCTAAGTTTTGTTATCAGAATTAGTTCCTTCTAAAAATCAATGGCTGACACGAGGCTGGTGAAAGTTCACAAAGATTCAGGCAACTTGAAAATCATTGATATAAAAAGGAAAAGAAAAAACATTTGTTAAAAACGCTTGTAATAAGTTGCTGCTGGTGTCATTGGCTTCATCAGCTGTCAATCATTCAACAGTGAGCTCCAGCGTTTTAGAGAAAAATATTTTTGATGGCTGAATTGTGATTAGAAAGAATTAATGTGGGAAATGGCTTTCACTGACCAGCAGTGGCTCTTGGCACAAAATACATTGTGACTTGAACAATTAATGAATTTATACTCAACAAAAGCATTCATTACTCACTACTGTATACAATATGTTGCAAATTTATTTAAAAGTTTTATTTGCATTAAATTATTTTGTCTAGAGGAGGGTTTGTTCACCTGCTCCTTATGATTTTTAGCATTTGACCTACCAGAAGATGGCGTGATAAGGAAAAGCCCTGAAAGAGGTAAAGTAGCAATGCAGCAAAAACAAAAAGGTCCAAAAGAAATACTGTCATGTGTGACAGTATTTTCTTAATTGCCAGGTAGAGGAAAGTTGAACCTCCAGGCCTATCTGACACAATGGCAAAATGAGATTCTGAAGAAAGAGGAGACCATCAAAGATTTACCTCGGATTAATCAGGTACTGTTCTCTAGTGCGTTGACGTGTTTTTTGTTTCTGTGGTGGCAAATATAAATAGTGGATGCTACAGTAGTAGTGAAATTGTTTTTTTTTTCATTGCATTCATTGTATGAGGAACTGCCTGTTAGTTTGGGAAGTATTTCCAAAACTAACCTTGCACCGTCCACAGCTAATTTTTTTATTTTTTTATTTCGATATTCTGAATCCTGACTATATTTCAGTAAAAGTAAGTCCTTGCCACTTAATGGTGAACTCAATGTGCATGACCTGATGTCTCTCTTACCTGCACCCGTCTTTCTGCCCTAGACTCAGTTCATCCAGTTTTCAAAGACTCTGTATAACATCTTTCACGGCGATCCGGAGGAGGAGTCTCTTTATCGAGCCGTGGCCCATGTGACTAGTCTACTCCTGAGGATGGAGGAGGTGGGACGGAGGTTGCAGGAGCCGAGCAGCCCGGTCCAGTCCACAGGGTCTCCCAGCAGCTCTGCTGAAAAGGACGCAGTGACGGAAGACACTGGTGACACCGAACAGAGCCCAGAGAGCTCACACTCCGGCTCACACAGCAGTCAGAAAGCAGAGTCTAGTGACGAGTGGTCCTTTTCATTTGAGCAGGTCCTCGCTTCTCTGCTGAATGAGCCGGCCATAGTTGGCTTTTTTGAGAAGCCTTTCGACATACAGGCTAAACTGGGACAAGCTAAGGTCGCCCAACTGAAGCTCAAGGTTAAAAAGTGAAAAGAATAAAAGTGGTTGTATTTACTTGGCCATAGAGTCGTGGATGTTGGCGAAGAAGACTGATCTACATGTATATTTAAATATATATAATTATATATATGAGGAAAAATCGTTTTGCTTGTGTGCCGACAGAAAGGCACTCCTCAGATTTAATTATGCAGTTTCATCTTTAATGAAGACTTTAATTCTCTCCTCTAGGCATTGGTTATGAATAAAATACAAATGTATTCTACATACTTCTCTACGTGCCAAGGTGCAAAAAGAGTATAATATTGTGGAGACATTCTCTCTTGTCCCCATGAAGGAAACCTGATAGGAGTGGCCGTCCTGTGTCTGATACGGTGTTTCACTACCACTAACTGCTGTAGTAGGTAAACAGGAGCCTTCGCTCTCAGGTTTGTCCTGATGTATTTGACCATGAATCTCAGTAGCTTTTGCTGTAGAGTGAAACATATTGTTAAGGCTTTTGCTGCTGAGCGTCTGGGCTGCTTTAGTGTTTAGGTAACAGTGGCTATTCACTGGGACAAAATACTTTTCTTTATTTCTTTTTGTTCAGTTTAAGCCTACATTGCACATCTTTATAACAGGAAAGCTTTGCACTTTATAGAGTTATCTGCCTGATGGTCATTATCAGTATCCACCTGGTGCAGGATACGTGTCTAGGAATCGTACTGACTTAGTACCAGTTTTTTATTTTCCTGATCTCTTCAAACAGCCAATACTTAACTCTAACTTTGCTTTATTTATTTATGAAACCTATAACTGAAGTCAGAACGTTCTGTCTTGATAAAACAATATTTAGCCATTTACCACTAACTGCTTTCTGTGTATCCCCCGAGCGTTGTTTAGAGTCTTTCAGCAGGTGATCTGACCCTCCATCAGAACCACTGTAGTCAACCTCAGCTTTTTGTCTAAAACCACTCGTTCAGTTTAAACAATGCAGAATCAACAGCAGGGTTGTGAAAATCTAAATCTGTGGAACAGCTCACAGAGGAGAGGGCGCTGTGCCACGCAGACGGTAGACATTACAGTGAAAGGAAATCTTATAACGATGTATGTTTACATAAAAGTTCTAAAAGTAAGCTATAACTACAACTAATGATGTCTTCTTCTGTCTGCTGTCCTTAAAGTTTTGATGTCCTGCACACCTGCGTGCAGTAGTATGTTGTTTACTGCTTTCTCAGTTTAATCATTTTGGATTTCCTGACCACATGGGAAGGAGGTTACTAATGTCCAAAACCATTTCTCTGTTGATGTGTTTAGGGCATTGGGATCACTTGATACCTTATCTAATTTGTCGAACAATGTCAGTAAACATGTTAAGGTGTTTATCAGTTAGATATAATTTGAATGTAACAAACGAGTGCATTAAAAGGGAAGCAAGAGAAAAAAAAAACGTATGTCAACTTTCTTTTACTTATACAGATCAGTAGAATGCTGCTGACAGGTGACATTTGACATGACTTTGGTGCAAATCTCTACTTTGAAACGTGTTTCTTTTGCACCTTAAAGTCCACCTGCGTTTTTGTCCGTCCTCGTTGTGGTGGGGGACAAACACTGCTGCTGTGTGAGACTGCTGTTCCACAAACTTCTGCCACTGTGTTACAGTTACAGTGTTTATGTTGGCTTTGCTGTAAATGTAGGGCAACGCCTGCTGCTGCAGATGCAGCATTCTGACGTCATTGAGGTCGTTTTCCATTTTCCGAACACTTCACACAGCACTTCAGTTTATTACAGGATGAAAATTATGTACAACTATGGAGCAGAGTGGAATTTTTTTTTACCCTTTGCCATTAATAGATGTATAGTATATGGCATATATATATATATATATATATATATATATATAGGGTTTCTTTGTTAATGTCTGGTTCCTGTGCCTTTTTATTGGTTGTTTGTTTTTGTTTATTTGCTTCCGTCTGGGTGAATAATTGCACTTTTTTTTTAAGATCATGTAAGTGCTGGAAAATCTGAGAGACATTTGTGTATATATGCCTTTGCTGCAGAATTTTCTCTACAGTGGATTCACATGTTTTAGAGCTCTGTCTCTTCTTCTGTTTGTTAATTATATTTTTGCATAAGAAATATCCACAGGATAGCTCTGGTTTAATCACAATTAGTCATGATTGTTTGTGACAACATTCCTAAATCTGTATATTGCCGAAACAGAAAGACGAATGACAGCAGTTAGATGTGTGTTTCACAACTGTTTTCAATTGTGATAAATTCAACGATAGGATATAATAAATATGCAAAAAAAAGTCTAGAGAAATATGCAAAAGTATGACTCGAAATGTATCTTCAGTGTGTTGGTGGATTTTAGTGTGCATCTTGGTGGCTTGTAAGATGCATGGAGAGCTTATGTAAAATGTTAATCTGGTTGTCAGCTGTAGACTGATTTACTGCCCTGTGCTCGTTGAGACCAGACCGGACACAAGCCGGACGTCTGACCTGAATTTGAAGCCTCTGCCAACATGTGTTGGCAGTTTGAATGATATTTTAAGCACCTGCAGTGTGTGTAAATAACCTGTGGATTGACGGACTGTGTATTAGAGCATAAATAGGTGAATAGACGATGAAACAATGGGATATACAGTGTGCGCCATTCTGCCCATGCATTTAAAAATCTGATTAAATTCATGTGTTATACGGCGATTATTGCTATTCCTTTTTTCATATTTAGGATCAAAACTATGGTGTAATATATTGTACAATATGAATTACAAGACCTCAAAAGGGACAGTACTCACTTTGAGTCAAGGGCAGCACTGGGACACATGAGTCAACAGTGTGTGCCGTCTGGGCTTGTTCTGCTCTTTATTTTACTTAACATTTTGGTGACATTATCTTGTAACGCATTTATTTTCTTTCTACGAATAATTGTTTTCTGAATCAGTATTTTGTGTGGCGGCAGCATCTGGTTTGACATTTTTTGTCCTTCTTTTCAAAGCTTTAAATCACAAAAATGTCAGGGATATTTACCCAAGGTCTGTTCTTCTTGAATGCTTATAGCAACAAAGGAGAAGGATCCTTTGAAAATAAATTCAAAAAAGGACATTCAGCCAGACGTTAAAACGTGTACTTCTACTCCACCACATGGTCCTTGTGTAAACTGCTTCAGTTAGGAATTCTAAGTCATTACTTGTTGAATCAGTTGTTTGTATTTATAAACCCACATAAATAGGCTTACCCTTAATTTTCATAATGGAATAAAGTAGCTACAAAGCTACATTTTGAACAGGAAAGCCCTTTAATTTTAAAAACACCACACTAAAATATATTTAATCATTTTGCTGGACCTGGTTCATTTTGAATTATGTGTTTTGCACGTGAAGAAATTTGATTTGAGATGCTCGGTTAAGTGTTTGTTGTAATGTTACGCCTGAATGACGTTATCTATGTCAGTGATTTGACTTTAAAAACCTAATAAAGATTTATTTTAAGATTAATTTGTTGGCCATGTTGTGAACACCTGAGCCCCTCAGGAAACTGTGTGCAAGTAAATACAAATAAAAGGCAGAAACATGGTTTTAAAATGAAGTCATGTGGGCAGTAGATACTAATAGTTTAGTTGACCTGCTTTCCAAAAGTTGCTGATTAAACGACCTGACTGACCGGACATAACTTAGCTGTAAAAGTCAGAGGAAGAAGACGCTTCAGTGCGTTTAATTTGGTTTAACATTAAGGAGTTTTAGTTATTGTGTTCAAGTCTACCAAAGGTCAATCCTCGGTGACCTGGTGATGTGTCAGTCATGGACATCACTGCTCACTGTGACAGAACAGTAACTAAAATAGCCTCCAGGTTGAATGTCAGAAGTGGCCTGTAATAAATCATTATAGCCTGTGGTGTCAGCGTTTCTGATTGACAAGCCAGTCTCTGCCTGTCAATCACTCTATTCTGGCTCACAACTTTACCGTAACTAACGTAGTGTGTTTTTTACAATAAAATAACATAATATATCAGCCAGAAATGTGACAGGCAAGAATGAGGAAGACATGATGGTAAGTCAAAAAAGAGATGTTTTAATCACATAAATAACAACTAAAACAAGTTAAGACACTTATCTCAGGAGGATTAAATAATTCAAGCTTTGGTTTGTTTTATTTTCCCAAAACTGAAACAACATTTGAAAGTAACTCATATTCAGTCCTTGGACCGAGACCAAGAAATTCTCAAAGCATTTATTTTTTTCGGGAAACAACCCAAACGTGTTTAGACTTAAGATGAGAAATAGCTAAATTAATTTGTCCTTTTCATGGCCTTTTTAAATTTATCCAAAACCTTTTTTTAATTTACCCCAGTACATATAATCAGTATCATATTGACCATAAATATTAACTGTATTAGGAAGACGGCATTACAGTTTATGATCAATAAAACAGTAGAAAACAGTTCGGGCTCCCAGTTAATATTACCTTTTAAAAAGAAGAAATCAGTTCAGTCATTGTATCAAAATGTCATCAAAACAGAAATATCACCAAAAACAAACTGTAAACTATTATGTCATTAGTTTGTGATATGTTGACTTTGGTGCTTGATACTTCAGTAACCCCTGTTAGAAGTGTACAGTACATGGCCCCTGTAGAAGTTTTTTTCTTTTTTTTCTTTTTTCTTTTTTTTTTACAAAGCTTAAACAAATGCTGGTAATCCCTCATACAAGTACGTGTCAATGTAGTTTTCTTTTTTGGCATTATTGTTGTAAACCAGTCGTTCCAACTAGTAAACCTGAGCTTAAAGTCCCAACATTGTGTGGCGCTGCTGATCTAGGACACTCTTGTAAAAGAGATTGCTAATCTCAGAAGGTTGTCCTGGTCAAGTGAATACAGTTTGTGTTCTGGGCATATGAAGTACAAGGCTACAGTAGTGTGGGTATAAAAAGGTACTGTAGATAAACAGTACCTCTACATAAAAAGTGCAATCCTCCCTGAGGATCTTCTAATTTGTTTATAAATGTTTACTGAATGTTTGAATTCATGATCCCCAAGTTAAAAAGAATAGACAGAGAACAACTAGATTTTCAAATCATTTAACCTGGTCTTGTTGTTGCTGTGCTTGCTCGACTGACTGTTCCTCCGCTGGTTCTCAACAGGCATTTCAAAGGCCGTGATGGAGTTTTTTTTCTCCTTCAAGTCATCCTCTGATTTGCCTTTTCTCTCCACGGCCATGTTGTCTCTGTTCTGCTTGTAAACCACCTTGCTGTTGTAGGGGCTGTAAGCAGAGTTTGGTTCACCAATGCCGTATTTGGGGTCTGTAGCGTAAGGCTCTGGCACAGCGGTGTGCCCAGAGAAGTAGTCGTAGCTTGGTACAAAGGGCAGAGCTGCTTCTGGTAGATGCCTGGGGGCCTCAGGTGATGCGTGTGACCGCCTGTAGCGGAGGCCCTGGTGGCATTTAGTGAAACCGAGATGGTACATTTCCACCAAGTTAAGTAGCAGTGAGATGCAGGCCACCGCAAGCATGAAGAGGATGAACACTGTCTTCTCAGTAGGCCGGGAGATGTAGCAGTTCACCATGTTGGGGCAGGGCCAGCGGTCACAGGTGTACATGGCCTTCAGCTCGAAGCCGTACAAAAAGTACTGAGCCACAATGAAACCCACTTCGAACAAGGTCTTAAAGATAATGTTGAACACGTAGGTTCGCAGCAGTGCGCCCTTTAAGCGCACATGACCTTGGTTATCTTTGACCGAGGCCTTTTTGGCCTTGATTTCAAGGGACTTCTCATTTTGGATCGCCTCCTCCCTCTCCTTTTCCTTTTGCTTTTCCTTTTCCTCCATGCGGACAAGATGGAGGATGTGGCCCAGGTAAATTAGAGTCGGTGTGGAAACAAAGATAATTTGCATCACCCAAAAGCGAATATGTGAAATAGGGAAGGTCTTGTCATAGCAGACGTTCTGACAACCAGGTTGCTTGGTATCGCAGGTGAAGCCGGACAGCTCGTCACCCCACACCTTTTCAGCTGCCGTTCCCAGAACCAGGATGCGAAAGATGAACAGCACAGTCAGCCATACTTTGCCCACCACTGTGGAGTGTTCCTGCGCACTCTCCAGCAGCTTCCCCAACAAGTTCCAGTCCCCCATAGTGGCTCCGATATGGACAAAACTGCTTTATTTAGAAAAAACAAAAAAATAGAAAAGCCTGTGAAGACAAGAAAAGTCAATGTGAAATCTATAAATATTTCACAGTTAGGAGAATTTAAAGCAATCTTAATATTAACCAACAAAAGGTACAACGGTGTTGGTAGAATACCATACAAAAACTAAACTATAATATGATCTGTTTTTGTTTTTTTTAATAGGGAGACGTTTGTTGTAGTTTGGTCTGAAATACTTGGAAGTCTGTGTTTGTGACTCTGAGGTCACTCCAGGGCAGCATGAAAAAAACTGTGAATACAGTGAAACATATAACATTCGAACAAGAGGTTCCTTCATACAGTAAAGCACACAACAGGCAGCATTAACCTTCAGTTTAGGTTGAAACCAAAGACCAACAGTTTCTCCTTAATTGCCTCTTTCTTTGCTTTTGCACCTGACTGTGAAGCTAACACAATTTGTACATTATAATCACACAGTTGCAGTTTGTCTGGTCGGCACTCTGGTAGAATACCTTCAACTCAATTTTGGAAAACACATGATTTAGCTGAACTCCTTGAACTTTTTGTTCTTCCCTCTTAAAGGTTCAGCTGCCGACATCCCTTTCTAAATGATGGAGCTGTCAGAGACTTGAGTCATGTTTCCAGTCTGCTAGAAATAATATCTGGGTGCGTTTCAGAGAGGTATCAGGTCAGCACGGCAGTAAACAGTTCAGACGTGTATAGAGACACATTTTTTTGCACTTTACCATCCTCCTCATACCGTGCTGCTCCAAACACGTATTCAAAAGCAGGACTATATATAAAAAAGTGCAACCCCCGATATTATCTGAGAACTGAAATATTTTTAAAATTGTATAAATTCCAAATAAAATGCTGATGTTTATATTGTGACACTGGACTTTGTGTATTCTCACATACAGTAAAGGTGTGAGAAAACTTGTAGCTTGTGTTCTAAAATATGAAATTCTTTTATAACGGCTTTATTAGAGAGAGATTTCATTTTTTAACATTTAGAGCTCTTTCTTGAGAGAATGAAAAATGCTTTCAAGTTCCACCGCAGTCATATCAAATTCCCGTCTACAGTATACAGTAACAAACACACACAGTGAAAACGTGGTCCTGCTGAGAACCTGTTAGAACACTAATCAGGTGGACATTTAAAAGCAGATCAAAGCTGGAAAAATATATATAATTATTATTACACAATTAGAAGTTCAGTCCAGAGAGTGTGGAAGCTGTGGTGGAGCTAGCTAAGTTAGCTCCAGATCTCAAATAACTATGATAGCTACTGTGCTGTGTATATCAGTGGCAGCGAAACATACCTGATATTGGTCACCTCTAACCGCAGAGCTGATTTGGTTACTTGGTGACTGCCATGTTTTCCTTAGCCCTGAGGAAAAGGCATTAGGCATTGAGAGAGTTCTTTGGGATAGTTCCTAGTCTGATGTTAACTCTACTTAGTGCTCTTCAGTCATCACCAGCAAATCCTGTCCAGCAGCAGAAATTAAAAACGTTGAATTCTGCCTGACTATGGAGAAGGTTATAGCTTTTCACTTAAGAGGTGTCTCTGCTTAAGTGAGTGGCAGCCAAGCAGCCCAGTGAGGGTGAAGGTTAGCCTTCCATGTCAGTGAGTGCTAAATATAAGTCATGTTTGATGGGAGTGGCCTTGTTTTTACTCACATGGAGAGCTGACCCTTGTGATTGCTACAAACTGTACATCCACTGCTTTGGGTCACTGCGAAGACAAAAATACATTTACATTTCCAAAAAGCAACATTTTAGTGTCACTTGTTATTGAACTGTAGATGTCACTTTAAAGTTTATGACTAAGTAAAGTCAAATTGCAATATTCTTTTCAAGTGGATGTATAAACTAGCCATTTTTGGAGTGTGAATAATCCCTTTTTAATTTTTTATGTATGTTCCCGTTATAATTGTTTTTTATGAAAGATATCATTCAACAACAAAGTTATTAAATAATTAGTAATACATTTATGTTTATATATTAGATTTTTGTTAGCAAGTAGTTGTTTGAAATTAATCCAGAAAAAAGCTTAATAGCTAAATAAATGAACATTTATAACTATGATGAATAAATGATGTTTATATTATTTTTGTTTTCCAGCTTAAATGACATAAACATAAACTAGTTTGTGTTCATGTGTATTTTGTGCTTTTATTAGACTCACCACTGTAGGGCATTTAGGGCATTTTAGCTGCGGGGGCGGGGGGCAGCTGTCCCTCTGGTCAGTCATTGTCAGCTTCACACTGACCCCTCACATGGCCAGACTATTGATAACTCAAAACTCTGCACTTTGGCCCTGAGAATAGTAATCAGTGTGAGATGTGTCCCCACAGGTGGCAGATTGGCATGCAGGTTCTGGTGTCCAAAAAAGGTGATGGTGCCACTGAAAGCTGAGAAGATTTATTTGGGGTATATTTCTTTGTTTATATCATAGATACACTGCTTACAACTGAAAATAGGCTTTGATATGACTGCAACCTAATTTGTGACAAAAATGCCAAATTCTCACTGTCTTGTTATTTATACAGATCTTGAAAGATTTATATAGATGTTTAAATATTTTAGAAATGTGACCAAATGCAACAATGGGGAAAAAAAAGAATACAGTACTGTACACTCTAAACTCACTTAACTAAACTGACGGGGCCACTGGACTTCCTTGTAGTGCCAATAAAGTGACGCGTCGGTAATCAGTGCAGACAATAGAGATATCACTGTAATCCATGAGACGCTCAGTTACAATACAGCTTCCAACCACTTGGTGGCGGTAATATGTCATTCAGATTATTAACAAGCTTCAATAAACAGAGAGAGGCACTTGGGCGGCCTCCAGTCTGAAGTGAAAGATATCAAGAAGTATTTAAAACCAAAAAATAAAGAAGAAAATGCGGTCAAACCCACCAAAAAAGACCGATTTTTAAGCAAGTACAACCCCGAAGTACAGCTTTGTATTCAGTGAATACGAGAACTCGTTTTGGATACTTGTGTATGCTGAGAGAAGCTGGTAAACTACGGTATGTAACACCCTTAATACCTAACCTAAAAACAACATTTTGAAAGAGAATCTTGATTTAAAGGAACAAAAGTTTATTTTTCCTTATCCATTTGATTAATACATTGTTATTAGATAAGTACATGCTGCTGGAGACTCTCTGTAAATGCATATTGCACTGTAACACATACCACCACTTTTATAATGTATGATATGATATACAAGATAGTATACATGTATTTAGTTTATATTATAAAAATGTATGTAAATAATGTAAAATTATTTTAATAAAAGACAATAAAATATTTTAATAAGAATGTTAATTTTTTGCAGCAAAAAAATACACAGGTGTCTGAACATTAAGACCATATTCCCAGTATTTTGTGACCTTATGTTAAGTACAAAATAGCTGTTAAAAATGTGTTACCATTAGAAGAAATCGTGGCCACACTAACATTTAAGATTTTGAAGTATAGCATAAAATGATGTCTAAAAAAACAGCAGCTTCTTGGTTATAACCCTTTTCAGCTAAAAAAAATCTAATCAAATTTTATTAGAAAAAGTTGAGTTTTTGTTGAATCCAAGCCACAGAGGTTGCATCACCAGTGCGGTGCAAATGTTTGCTGTAGGCTTTCCCCATCAAGAAAACGATTTCAGCCACATTTAGAAAAATACAAACACCTGATGCAGCCAGCATAAACATGGTGAATACTGTTTTCTCTGTAGGCCTGGACACAAAGCAATCCACTGTGTTTGGACAGGGGTAAGAGTCACACTTGACCAGCCGGATCATCTTATATCCAGGATAAATGATGTAAAACAAACACATGAAGATGACTTCAAATATGGCACGAAACAACAGGCTAATGACATATGTCCACCACAAAGCACCGGTGATTTTCATTTTCTGGGTCTTGAGCTGCTCAATGTCTTTGGGGCTGGTCCTTCCTGACAGTCTGTAGATCCTCTTGTCTAAGTGCCGCCGGTGTGCCACATGCATGGCTACCAAAAGGGCAGGAGTGGCAACCACGATAAGTTGAAGTGCCCACAGACGAACATGAGAGATTGGGAAGAAGTAGTCATAGCAGACACTGTTGCAGCCTGGTTGCTGGGTGTTGCAGATGAAGCTGGACTTCTCGTCACCCCAAACACTCTCTGCTGCCACCACCAGGACCAGGATGCGGAAGATGAAGATAACAGAGAGCCAGATTCGGCCGATGCCTGTAGAATGTCTGTTCACCCCGCTGATGACTGCATAAAACGTTGCCCAGTTCATCTTTGGTTCAGGCTCTGAAAGTCAAGCTAGATATTTCACATATACAATATCAAAACAGTAAAACCTTCATCTGCACTGATTCCACACAAACATATTTAAAGTATATACTCTTTAGAAGTGTCCAAATATATAGCAAGAAAGAACACTTTACTACTTGAAATATTCTGTCTTGTAAACATATAAATATAGTGTTTATATATATTTATAGTTGCTATTTCATAGAATTAATTTGACAATATATTTTTACTGGTACCCTTAGCATAATTATTTAAATCATAATTTATTTGATAATTATTAAATAAATAAATGGGTGCAAACCTTTTGATCAAGGTTCAAGATTCTCTGGCAGGAGCTGTGACGGCCACTCAGCTCCTTCTGAAAATGGGAAATGAGTATACGGTATTTTTGTACAATGCAGTATGCCATCGTGAATAGTTTTGTTTTAATGATTAAGGAAAAGCAAATTTGTGAAAATATTTTTCACAAATTTGTGCAGTTAAATTAGTGATTAAAGTTTCTCACTTTGCTTTCTGGTGTTCGTCCTGTATCCAAATAAACTCCCCCCAGGGAACAGCCCCTTTCTAAGTAAAAGAAAACATTTGAAGTGGAGAGAGGACATGGTTTCAGGGAGTCTTGGAGGGATCGAGGCTCAACAGGAGGACATCGAGGCTGTGTTTGCCCAGTGGCCAAACTCTGGTAGCCTTTCCCCATGCACCCAAGGATAGAGCCGCATCTCTCCCTACCTCTGTTGCTGCTGCACCTATGGGGCAGACGTCTACTGCTCTATAATGTGCTGACTTTCCTTGTCTCTACGGTGATCTGACATCACACCTGACATCTTCCTACCAGTTCTTTAACTGCACTTCAGCTTTAGCTTCAGCAATCCTTTCCTTGTCTACTGATAGTTCTTCACTACTTCCAGCAGCATTTATCAACTCTACCTTTAACTATTAGAAACACTTAGTTTCCACTGAAATGAATGACTAATGTCTTTACAGTGTGATTTTTGGTCAATCATACATGGTAAAAACAACAGAGAAAACTACAACGGTGTTGTAAACAAGTGTTCACATACAGAAAAACTCCAGGTTTACATAAAAAGACAGCTGCCCTCAGGCAATGCAAAAAAACTCACCCATAAAACGAAGCGCATGAGGACAGAGATACTGCAGGCACCTACTTTTTGTTACTCTTGAAGCAACACAAAATGTCTTGTACCAGTCAAGCTGAGTCAAATTGATTGATTTATTCTTGAATTTAGTGGTCAAGTCATTACTTTAAACTATAAACAAAGACACAGAGGAAATGCAGAAACAAGAAAAAAAAATCAAACAGCTTTTTTTAGCTAGATGATTTACAATGAATCTAAATATTTACTCACCTTAAGCGTTGGATCTATTTCTTTTTCATTCTATGAGTTTGAATACGAGCGTCAGAGTACCATGACTTTGCATTGCTATTGATTTCTCTCACACTAGCCGCGGCCCTGCACTGGAAAGGTCATATGCCTCTCACACACAAAAGCGCCATTTACAGTGAGCAAACAAACAGTGTCAGAGCCACTGTTTTAATTTATGCAAAGCTCAAGAATTTCTGTGGGAACCACATCTGTCTCCCTGCCATAACTGTAATGTGTTTAGTGATGTAGAGAGTAGGACTGCAGAATATGGGGCCAAACCTCAGGTACATTCCTAAGCTCACAGGTCTTTTCTGTCAGCATCTCCAGGCTTGTTTATTTTGCTGAGATTCTTTTTGGTAAAGAATTGCATCCGCAGGTCACGTTCAGAAAACACTGATGCAGCTTTTTCGTTGTTACTGTACTGTATAGTTTTATTTATTTATTGCTATAACACAAATTTGTAGCTTGTATTTTTTATTCATAATATTAGTTTGATAATGTAATAACTTTAATGGCAATTTGACTGGGTTCTTGGTATTAAAACAGTTTGCAATCTGTTTCAATAAAAACAGGAAGATTGTGACATGCAGTAATGGCACATTACTGCTAAAACAGGAAGTCATATGGCGCTAACAACATGCTTACTCAGTAACAGGAATAAAAAGGTGCTTTACCACTATTTCTGCATTGTTGCTGTAGATGCTAAAAAAAGTGACATTACTTTGTAAAATATGTGTTTTGAAATATTTCTGTAGCAAATATAGGATGATTCTAAATCAAATCCACTTTTTATTCTGATTGCTTTTAACTCTCACGTCAGGATGGATTCTTGTAGACCTTTCTGTACAAGGATTTTGTCAATTTTACAATAAAACCTGGCAAATTAGCTCAACTATGCACAAAAACCTGATTAGGGTGCAGAAAAACGGCTGCTGCATAGGAGATTATAGAAGCCTCACAGTTCTAAAAGTTTAATTAAAAGCTTTAATTGAGGCCCCCTTTCAGGACTGCATTTATACGGATATGGTCAGCATTGATGACAAAACAAACCAACAAAGTGTAAAACAGAAATACAATAATATTTAGTATTGCAGTATCATTGGGTAGAGATCTGATTCCAGCTAAAATTAGTTCTGCTGTGAATCAACAACTCTGATGAAACTACAACTGTCCTCATTCATATTGATTTATGGCCGCAGGGAAGCCTGATGTCAACATCCAGTGTGTCTGGAATTTCCTGAGGACAGAAAGGTTACAGGTTAAAGCCAGCCTACATCCTCAAAGATCATGGTGATGAAAACGAAAATAAATTTGATTCAGCTTATGTTCTTGTGTCTGGTAATTGATAATAATAATAATAATAATAATAAAACAATTTACACTTCTTACATTAAATTGGCAAAGACTTTGTTGACAGGAGCATTAGTAAGTTTTCTACTAATACATGTGTAATTCCTATTTTTGAAGTAGCATACAAGTTCTACAAAAGCATTTTTGTAACCGGAATTTGGCTGCGTTTCCTTTAAGAACTGCCTGGATCCGGAAAGGGAGGAATGAGTCTTTAGCCACGGAGTTACGTCCACTCTAGCTTAGTGGTACGTTGCAGGCGAGGATGTTAGGGATAAGAATAAGACAAAAATACGTATAGGGAAAGTGTTTGTTTTCATTTACGTTCTAACTTCTAAAAAAAAATCAAACTTATTGTTTAAGTTAACTATAAAGACATAATATAATGGTGAAAGACAGACGCAGGTTTAAGGGAAGCGTGACGTATTTTCGAAACGGGACATTTCCAAAAGGCTTCCTGCCCTGGAACCGACGCTAACTCAAGGAGAAGTGGAGAGCCAGGGTGGGCATTTTCGAGCTTTTTTTTTTTTGCAGTCAGTGTAACGAAAGAAGGAAGTGAACCAAGTTTGTACGCTGTTGGTTAAAGTTCACAGGAGAACAGCAGTTACCAGAGCCTCCCATGAACACAATGGTGTAGCTGCATCAGTCAGATGTGTGCTTGTGTGTAGGCAGAGCTGCTCACTATCGACCTCAGTCACTCCTTTGTCTGAAGCCCAGTGGTCCTGAAGATGGGACATCCTCCTCTTGAGTTCAGTGACTGCTATGTGGACAGTCCCAACTTCAGAGAGACTCTCAAATGCTATGAACTGGAGCTCGAGAGGACGAACAAGTTCCTCAAAGAGTTGGTGAAAGATGGCAACAGTGTAATCGCTGCAATTAAAGGTGAGAATGCTATTTTCTGTCTCCCTAAGTAATAACAACTGGTGTCAAAATTCAAAATGCCTACTGTAAAGTTGCCAGGGGCGCTCAGAAAAAATAGAGGGCCGTACTTATCTTTTGTTATTTCTTATAAAAATGAATTTAAATATTTATTTAGTTCTCAACTAATAGAGTTTGCGTCGTAAACAGCGTCAAATTAAGAAATTTGACGAAATAAAGAATCACAGCAATAACTGCGTTTTCTTCCATACAAAGTTGTTCTAATAGACATCAGGTGGTCAATGTGACCCATGTACATGAGAAATGTAGTGCAAAAAACCCCAAAACAAAACAAAACAACCCCCCCCCCCCATAATTCTTTAATTTCTTTAATTTTAGTTTTTAGTCAAATTAGTTGGCCTCCATCTGGACAGGCAGGAAGTTAACTTTTCATTTCCTGTCTCTAGATTTTTAGTCTGTTCATGCACATCTATTTTACATATTGTTATATTTTTGACAGAGAGATCCAAACTGTACCTGTGGTGACTATCCTTGTTTTGTTTATTTTTAATGGTTAAGGCAACACATATACCTGACAAAATTCATAGTATTTACAAGTATACTTTGGTGATTCTAATAAACATTAATAGTAGTTTTAGTTTAGAAGGAAGTAGGAGAGAATACATAAAGTGGAACATGAAACCTTTGTGGGCCAACATATAATAGTGCTTCCCCGTTACAGTTACATGATTCACTTTTCAGACAGTATTTTTTACTGCTTAGGGCAAGTACACATCAGTGGGTATTGGAAGCTAAAACGATGACTTTCAACCCCCAGTCATGTACACTTCTTTTGCAGCCAAATTTGTTAAAGTAAGCAGAAAGTAAGCAGAGATGTTTTTGTTTGACAGAAAAAAATATATAATTCTCAGAGATATAGCTGTGTGTCCCTGCACTAATTGACAGTTAAATTCCCTTCTAGATATCTCTCTTTAAAGTTTACACTTGGACTAATTTAATCTTTTGTTTTCATTTTATTGACATTTTATTTTAGGACAAGGAAAAAAGAGTGGTCAGGGACTGTTCTTATTTTTTAAGTCACAACAAAAAAACATTACCTACCTACTTACCTAACAGATATTTTGTTTTGTTATGCAGACCTATTGTGCAAGAGTTTATTTGCCAGAAAGCTTTTTTTTAATTTCAGCCATGAAGTTGTTTTCAAAGTTGTTGAACTGTAGAGAAAACTTGGGACTGAGTGCAGTTTCTTTATTACTTATTAAAATAGAATGTGTGTTGAATCACAACTTTTGACATATACTGAGAATTAAATTAAATAGGATTCACCAAAAATCTATACTGGCTAGTCACACTTACAAAAAAGTAATGGGGAATTATTCTCACAGATGCACAGCACTTTTGCACACTGTTCTCTGCCTTTAACCCATCGCCAAAGTGAGCAGAGAGCAGCACAAGTTTAGAGGAGCAGTGTGTGTGGACGATGCCAGGCCATTACTGCCTAGAATTAGAGCCGTCAAAATGATGTGTGCAAGTTATTACGCTGTGGAAACTTGAAATACCATCTCTTCCAGCAAAGGCTTCAACATCCAGTCAGACATGTCAGACCAGTCTCACTAAGCGCAGGGCAGTTAATAAGTCTACAGCTCACAAGTTGACTGACACAACTGTCAAATTGATTGTGAGAGGCGGTAGATTAATATTGTTGAGGACAATGGCTTCACCAAAGTTTTAAAAGCAGCTCTCAGCACGTTCTACAAGCAACCCTTAAGATGCACAGTAATGACTAAAATCCATCAAATCTATGAAAATAACAGACGTAGCTCTTACATATTTTTAGTATGATTTGACTGTGATACTTTGTGATAATTTTCTTGACAGTTTGACATATTTACATTTCCATCATTTGGATTAGTCACAACTGAAAATAAAAACAGGGGTGAAAGGCAACACAGTTATGAAAAACAAAAATTACAATGGTACTCTATTGGATAAGAGACAGCTTTCTTCAGCTAATGATAAGTCTTGGATAATTCCTTGAAAAACACATTCGACTTGAGTCTCACCAAATACTTCACCACTATTGTTTCGTCCTAGCAGGTTCAGTTGGTCAGCTAGTCTCTTTTCTGAGTTAAACACTGATTAACACAAGTTTTATATTTTTTAGACCAGCAGAAAAAAAAGTTTGATTTTCTGTATTTCATTTTAGGTTATTCTGTTGCTGTGCAGAAGTTTTCTCAAACTTTAAGTATGTTCCAGTTTGACTTTGTTGGTGACTCACTAACTGATGATGAAATCAACATTGGTAAGGTTACACCACAGTTCTCTAATATGTCATACACTTTAAAAATGTAAATAGTTATCAGGAATGGACAGATTTTTGAAGAAAACACAGTTTCTTCTGTCTTATTTCAACTACAACATATGTTCACCATGATGTAGCAAGTCAAATATCTTAAGTTTATATTGAGTTTGTGATATGTGATAAACTTGGGAACAACAAGATAACAATAAAGCCAGAGGAAAGATGTAAGTGTTTTTGTCTCATATCTGGCATGATATAGTTCCTGTGTAGGTGTTAAAAAGGTTTTTGTCTCATATCTGGCATAATATAGTTCCTGTGTAGGTGTTAAAAAGATGCTAAAGATATGTAGTTTGACTCGTTTGTGCGTGTTCTTGTGTGTGTTTATCTCTTTGTTGGTGCTTAAATGAAACTATTGGATAATAGTATTGTGGTGAGATAACTTAACTAACCTTTTTGTCATTTGTACCCAGCTGAGTCCTTCCATGAGTTTGCAGGTCTTCTGCAGGAAGTTGAGGATGACAGAATGATGCTGGTGGGTTATCAGTTTCTTGCACACTAACTGTTCATCCTCTTTAAAACCTTTTTTTTGACAAAAACCTTTTTTTTAACTGAAAATAAACTGGCTCAACTGTGTACATATTATTAAAAATAACTTTATTATTTTTTTATTTAAACAAAAAAGTTAGGGGAAGTTTAGGAAATTATATCAACTGTTAAGGAAAAGTGTGCAAAAATATAAGTATTATATGTATCCAGATGTAACATCTGACTGTTCAGTGCATATTTATACGACTTAAATTTGACTTTAATAACCGCTGCTCGCCGTTTTTCTGTGCAGGTTCAAAATGCTTGTGATCTTCTCATCAAACCACTAGAAAAATTCAGGAAAGAGGAAATTGGAGTAGTAAAGGTGAGTGTAATTACTGATCCTAATGCTCAGACTATATATGAAATATACATCTTATTGAGTCAATGCATATCAATGCTAAATAATAGTCTGGACCTGATATTTTTTACTTTTTTAGATCATTTAAAAACACACTAAGTTTTTAAAATCATGCGTCCTTGATAGCCATGTAAATGGTAATAATAAGTCATAATACTTGCAGTGATCTACAGTTATGGAGCAAATGAATACAATAACAATAACATAATCACTCCTATCAGTAATGATTTAAAAATTCCATTTTCCATGTCTCACTTTCTGGGTTGAATTGAGAGTATCTTCATGAATGTCGTGCACATAAAAGGTACTACAGATGCTACCAGTGGAAATCCCAAATTCCACTGACAAGTAGCCAAGATTTTACAGCTGTCCAAGAAAAAAGAGAGGCTTATGCTGCTAGACTTGAAATGCTATTTCTGGGCTGCTCAAATAATAGTTCTGTTGGTTTGGATTCAGAATGACACTCACACTAGATTACTTAATATTGAAAATAGTTTATGCCAAGAGCCTTCAGAAAAACCTGCCTTTATATGTATTTATTTGTATTTCTGGTTAAAATACAAAAGGGAATATTTAAAAAAAAATATTAAAAAGTAAATTATACAAGTTACTTTTGTCAGTGGATGGACATGATTCAGTCCACTTAAAGATTAGAGGCAGAACTGAATAAAATAGAATACTGAAAAGAACTAAATACCGAGAGACATTTGGAAATAAATTTGCACTCCAGATTCAAGTACGCAAAGAGACCTCAAATGGGATGTAGAAATGGAAAATTGTATTGAGATATTTTACATTTATGCATTTTGTGTGACTGCAATCTAGGTTTGAAACCCATGTATGTCTTTTCTGTTTTTACAATGTTCCTCTCTGTATTGCAGGAAAAGAAAAAGAAGTTTGAAAAAGAGAGTGAAAAATATTACTCCCAGTTAGACAAACACTTAAATCTTTCCGCCAAAAAGAAAGAAAGTCAGCTTCAAGAGGTACGGCTATTTGTTTTTTTTCCACTTGAGTGACGTGTTTTTGTGATCTCTAGCTTTATATAACCCCCCCTTCCTTTCTCTGAAGGCTGATGAACTGTTAGACAAAGAGCGTGTAAACTTTTATGAGTCATCAGTGGAGTATGTTTATCAGATCCATCAGGTACAAGACAAGAAGAAATTTGACATAGTGGAGCCTGTGAGTATTTCATTTGGTTTATCTGTATATATATGTTTTAAACTGCAGTTCTTTTTTGCATTTGTTCTTGCAATGCTACTCTTTGTTGAACACAACTAACCTGGTGACTGGAATGAGGCACCAAATGAAAATAAGTTTTTGTCCACCCAACTTATATTATTTCTTGAACATTAAAGGCATAATCAAGTTTGTTTTTGCTTATTTTTTAAGGCAGCTCTGCTTTGTCACCTGTCAGAGGATTTCTCCTATTATCTATCACATGACGTGTCAAACTTTACAAACGCTGGCATGACTTGACGATCCAAATACATGGACCATAGACACATTACCAGTGTAACATGTGCCTTTTTTCTATTTCTTCACACTATTCAAACTAGTAAAAATAAATACAGTAGTTTGGGCCTTTACACTATCGTGCTAGTACAACGGTGTACATGTGCTTATAAAAAAGTCTCCTCTAAGTCTCCTCTTAGCCATACTGATGTGCATGTAATATTTTTCAGTGATTGTTTTTAACTGTGGTAATTCAAATTAATGTGCATTTTGTTGGTTGCAAAGGTGCTGGCATTTCTTCACAGTGTCTTAACACTGAATAACCTGACAGTGGAAATGACCCAGGACTTCATGCCATACAAGCAAGAACTGCAGCTCAGCTTGCAGAATGTAAGTATTTACAACCTGAAATACAGTCTTTTTGAACATCATAACCTCACTGTCGTGCTGGTTTGGTGCACAGACCCGGAATCACTATGAGAGCACTCGCGAGGAGATGGAAGACCTGATGAAGAGGGTAAAGCATCCATCTCAAATCTGTAAAATGCACAGCTTCCAGCCAATGGAGGGTTACCTATACTGTCAGGAGAAGTGTAAGTGTTGAATTGGTATCACAACATTGAAACCATTTTCCCAAATAAAAACTCTGATTTTTAAAAATAATCTTTTGACAGGGGCTTTGGGTATGACATGGGTCAAATATTATTGCAAGTATCACAAGGAAGGAAGGCAGCTGGTCATGGTTCCTTGTGAACAGAAGCCTGGCACCAAACAGGTATTTTCCAAAATCTCAATCTGTTGTAGATCTTAAATCAAATTTTGGTTGTGGGTGTTAATTTGTTTAAGTTAAACATAGTAATACATTTTTGCATTTAATTTTGTGTATTGCAAAGCAGGAGACAGTTGTTTTCAGTTGAAGTCAATAGCTGTGTGAAGGCTCCACTCACTTTCCGTTCAGTTGGCTCAATTGTCCTTAAATATGCAGAAGTTTTAGTGATCTTTTAATATTATTTTAATATTATTTGATATTGCTATTCTGTGTAATATGATGACAATTTTTGTTTACTACAGAACAACTTGGCAACCTGGTTGCATGAAGATTTCCATTTAAAAAATGTTTTGTAGTTGTCTGTCTTGTAAAGCTGTAGTGTGACTAAGTTATATTCCATTGTCACTTGCAGGGCCCGACACAGCTGACACTGAAATCCTGCATTCGCCGGAAGACAGAGTCCATAGACAAGCGCTTCTGCTTTGATGTAAAAACAAGTGAGAGGTAACACAAACAAGTCTGAGTTAATGCCACAGGCAAAGAAAGAGATAAATGGGTTTAGGGTTGGGTGAACAGGTGGCTTACAAGGACAGTGAGTAAGGGCTAAATGGATGGCAGCCCAAATATTCCCTTATCAACGGGTGCACGCAGCACCAGATGGCAAACGCTGTGATGTCACAGAGGACTGGATTGTATTTATATTAGCAGGTCATGCAGTACTCATTGCATTTAATAGACGCTTGTGTTGTTTATTATCACAGGGTATTTTGAAATGTTTAAAAGATGTTTGAATTATGCACTGAAAGTTGGAAAGTTAAACTTATTTGTGCCATTACGTTTTGGTTTTTTTTGGCTCAGAATATTCAACATCAGTGTCCCATTAGATCCTTTTTTTCAATTAATTTCCATAATGTTCTGCGACAGACCTAATCAAGTGACATGATATACTTATATATTAAGTTCACAATATACCTAGTAATGCTACGTTCTTAATTTTCTTTAACGTGACTACCATAAATTACCCGCATGAACAGAAGATGCAGCGTCACACACATGATGTGTTTTCAGAAATAGCTATGGCTATGACTTATGTTAGTGAATATGCATCAAATTAGTGAACAGTTTTTATTATTAGATAGATTTTTGCAAAACAAATAAATAACTGTAAAGCCCCAACTCCAAAGTAAAGACAACAGGACAGAGATCTTACAATCTGCAAATTATTTATGACACATAAAGAACAGCTGGTGTGTTTTCAACAATTCCTGACTCACATAAATGACACGACAAAGTTATTTTTTTTAAGATCTGACAAACTTTGTTAATTTCTTGTGGGGCTAAAATAAATGATGAAAGACAGGAAAACCACAAGGTTTAATTCTCAGTTTTCACTTCAGATGTCAACAACACAGACCAGTCAGTTCTTCACGTTTCAAGGTTGTTCTGCTGCTGATTACTTTAGATTTTCTTAAACATAATCTTGTCTCTCATCATGCGTCATATTTTCCTCTTGCACAATATTGTTGGAAGTGTTTCAAGATTAGAAAACATTTTCTTGGTTAGCAACATGGCATTTCATACTTGTGTGGGGTGAATCTAAGCCAATCCTCAAGTAAAGTTTGAATTCCAGGACCAATTTTAGCACCAGTACTTCAATGCACTCCATTGTTTATGCTCTAGTATACCTCACATGTTTTCCAAACTACTTTTGCAATGTAAAAATCAAAGTAATCTTTCCAAACAAAGCTACAAATATATGATAGAAGTGCTGTGATTTCTAGTGCTAAAGTACTGAAATTTTGTGTTGAGTTTCTGGATTTAAAATTCCATTTATATTCATGAAATTGAGCATCTTTATTACAGGAGGGTTCTCAGCAAGTGTTACTCGTTTTGTTTTTCATAGCAGTCGAAGTGCACAGTTGTTTTAGTTAACAATTGATTTAGTTGCCCTCACGTTGTAAAACTTGGCATCTGACTTTATTGCATATCTCATTAGCAGATTTCATCAGTGAGACAGAGATCGCCCTGTGCAATTATTATGTCTCAATCCAGATCCACAGACTTATTAATACACCAAAGGCTAATAATTGAGAGATGAGCATAGAATGTCATAGTCTCTCACTATAATCTTATTTTTACCTTTTATTAATAATTATAAATGTATGATTGATTGTTTAAAGCTAAAGCAGTGCATCTAATGGGACGAAATATTTTGTCTTTTGTCTTGTTTTTCACAGAAACACACCTGTTACTTTCCAGGCTCTTTCAGAAGGTGACAGGAAGACGTGGATGGAGGCCATGGATGGAAAAGAGCCTGTGAGTTGATTTTTTTTTTCATGCATTATTTTGAGGGACATTATAGTAATCACATCTTAGCTGTGATGTTAATGCCCCTTCAAGCATTTATGCACTGCTAATTACCAATAACTGATTACCTGTATTCTAGGGGTTGATTGATTGATTTTAATAGTGCTTTTCCCCATTGGAAATATA